TGTAGGTGACTCAACCCATGGTAACCCCCACGGCAACCCACAGTGCCCCCACAGCATCCCATAGCAAAGGGAAGCCAGGAGGGATCTCCCTTGATTTGGTGCTGTGGGACAAGGGTTGGGGTGGGGTGGGCTGGGGAGTGTAGAGGGATCCTATAAAGCGGGGTCTGGAGGGTGAGATTCCCCCATAACCCCATGCCTGGGAGTTATGGGGACATATGAGGGCATCCCTGGAGGACCTGGCATTGGCCTGTGCCTCGAGGAGCCCCAGAGACCCTAAAAGTGCATCCTTTTATAGAAGAGGGGGGTCTTCTGGTAGCCCCAAAAGTGGATCCTGGTGGTGACTCCCCATGACCCTCACACTCGGGGTTCCCACAGACCCCAGTGCTTGACCCCAGCACTCATGCCCCCCTCCTTCCCTCCCCCCCCATCCCCTCACCACTCAGTCTAGAAGCCCCCACCATCACCCTCACTTTCCCCAAGACTTGAGGGGGGGGTCCTCAGTCATCTCACCCCATCTCTTGAGCTCTGTGGAGTTTGGGGGGGAGGGGGGAACATCCCAGGTGCCCCCCGCTCCACTCAGCTGCTGTCCCATCCTCTGCTCCCCCCAGGGCAGGGACCCAGCAAGAAGGCAGCAAAGCACAAAGCAGCAGAGGTGGCTCTGAAGTTGCTGAAGGGGGGGGACATGCTGGAGCCCGGAGCCCCCGAGGAGCCCAGGTTGGGAGCCCAGGGGGGCTGCTGGGGGTCAGGGGAACTTTTGAGGGGAGGGGCTGGAGGGAGCGTGGGGTGGCTCAGGGGTTTTGGGTGGGATTTTGGGGTGACCTGAAAGGGTTTTGGGTACCTGGGGGTGGGCACTGGGGAGGTTCTGGAGTGCATGGAGAGTGATAGGGGGCACCCAAAGGGAATTTGGGGGTATCCAGGGTGACTGGGGTGAGGGGTTGGGGGCTTAGGGGTATGAATTGAGGCTACTTGGTAAGACTGGGGGGGTTGGGGTTGTCTGGGAGGGGGGTTAAGAGGCTCTGGGTGGGTCTGGGGGTTCGTGGGAGCATTGAGGGTTGTTCTGGGGGGGAGCCAAGAGAACTGGGGATGCCTGGAGGAGGGGGGGGGGTCCAGGGATAACTGGGGGTGCCTGTCAGGATTTGGAGGGAGGTTTGGGGCTGGGGGGGCGGCTCGGGCGTTAACGTGTCACCTTCTGTTCCCAAGCTCTCCTTTCCCCTCAGAGCCCTTGGCAGAGCCCAGCCCCACAGCCACCCCCCCGGCCCCCGCTGTGGCCCCATCTTCCCCCAGGTCAGGGGGTGGGGGGCACCAAGCCCCCCCCCAGCTCCCAGCACCCTGATACCCCTTCCTGGCTCCCCTCAAACTGGGGGTCTTGGCCAGGAGGTGAGGGGGTCCTGGATGCCCTCCTCATGTTGTGCTCCTCTGCCCCACACAGGGGTGCCCCCCTGGAGGTGAAGGCGCCCGTGCCCCCCCCTCAGTCAGAGTGTAACCCCGTGGGGGCTCTGCAGGTGGGTGAGGGGTTCCCCAGGGGCTGCTTTGGGGCTGGGGGGGGTTGTTTTGGGGGGATGGGGGGAGGTGTCCTTATTGGGGACCATTCTAGGGTGCGGTTGGGCCGGTGTTTGGGGGTGGCTGTCCCCATTTTGGGGGTGCCCATACCCATTTTGGAGACTGGCCATTCCTGTTGAGAGCCATTGGGGTGTGGGGGGGTGCCCACACCCATTTGTGTGGTGTGGTGCCATTGGGGAGGGGGGGGGTTGTGACATTTTGGGGTTACCTATCCCCATTTTGGGGCCGCCTGTCCCCATTTTGTGCCTATTCTCAGGGCGGCTGCCCCCATTCTCCCCGCATCCCCGCTGCCCATTTTGGGGCCGTTTCTCCCCGTTTTGGGGCCGTACCCTCCCTGACCCCCCCCTTTTCCTTGCTGTGCCCCCCCCCAGGAGCTGGTGGTGCAGAAGGGTTGGCGCCTGCCCGAATACACAGTGACACAGGAGTCGGGGCCGGCGCACCGCAAGGAGTTCACCATGACGTGCCGCGTGGAGCGCTTCGTGGAGATCGGTGTGTGGGGCACAGCGTGGGGTACAGACACGACTTGGGGGGGCTGGGAGACACCCAGCTCACCCCCCTTGTGCCCCCCATGTCGTCGTCCCCCCTCCCCGTCCCCCCCCCTGCAGGCAGTGGCACCTCGAAGAAGCTGGCGAAGCGCAACGCGGCCGCCAAGATGTTGGTGCGCATCCACAACGTCCCCATGGAGCCACGCGAGGGCAGCGAGGCTGAGGTGGAAGAGGATCAGTTCTGCATGGTATGGGGGGGAGAGGGGGGCACGTGGTGACCACCCGGGGGTTGGGGGGGGAGCACTGGGGGCTCTGTGCTCCGTTTCAGGGCAAGGGGAATGCAAATGGTTGAAGCTGGGGGAGGTGGAAGTGTAGGGGATGCCCTCTGAATTTGGGGTTTCTGGGAGGTTGGGGGTGTCCTGCAGTCCTCAAATCCTTGTGTACCCAGGGGGGCCCTACCTGGGGCTCCCAACACCCCCACGTCTCAACTGCTCACACGTGGGGGACCCCCAGGGTGCCCTTTTGTCCCCCAAATGTCCCCATGAGGTCACCACTGGTGTCTGAACCTCTGTGTCCCCACATCGTTCCCAGAATGGGGTCCCTGTAGTTCCTGAGCACCCCCCCAACCCCTCCAACCTCAAATGTGTCCATGTATGGAGGTCCTGGTAGTCCCTCAGCCCCCCATGTCCCCAAGGGTGTCCCCATGCGGGGGTCCCTATAGTTCCATGAGCCCCCCATGTCCCCAAGGGTGCCCTGACGGGGGGGTCCCTGCAATCCCTCTGCTCCCCATCTCCCCCAAAATGGGGTTCCTCACACTCTGCCCCTTCCCCACAGGCGGGTCCTCGGCTGGAGGGGCTGCGGGGCCGCGCTCCAGGCTGCACGTGGGACTCCCTGCGTAACTCCGCGGGCGAAAAGATTGTGCAGCTGAGGAGCCACCCGTTGGCACCCATGGGTGCGGGCGCCTGCGCGCTGCTGCAGGAGCTGTCTGAGGAGCAGAGCTTCGCCATCAGCTACCTCGACATCGGTGAGACCCCACCCCTGCACCCAGTGCTGTCCCAGCTCCGGGCTCAGGGACCCCAATTCTCCACCCGCGGGTGCCCCAACTGTGGGCTGAGGGATGATTCGGGGTCTCAGGGTGACAGAATCACAGAATGGTTGGGTTGGAAGGGAGCTCAAGGATCACGAAGCTCCAACCCTGCCACATGCAGGGCCACCAACTTCCACATTTAATGCTAGACCAGGCTGCCCAGGGCCCCATCCAACCTGGCCTCCAACACCTCAGGGATGGACGGGGCATCCACAGCCTCTCTGGGCAGCTGTTCCAGCACCTCACCGCTCTCACAGCAAACAACTTCCCCTGACATCCAGCTGAAATCTGCCCTCCCTCAATTCCAGCCATTTCCCCTCGTCCTGCACTTCTCTCCCCTTCCCAAGAGCTGACTCCCCTCCTGTCTGCAGGCTCCCTTGAGGTGCTGAAGGCTGCAATGATTCACCCCGCAGCTTCTTTTCTGCAGGCTGAACAAGCCCAGCTCCCTCAGCCTGTCCTCATAGGGAGGTGCTGCAGCCCTGCTCATCTTCGTGGCTCCTCTGGCCCCTCTCCAGCAGCTGCCTGTCCTTCTTGTCCTGGGGGCTCCAGCCCTGGGGCCTCACGAGAGCAGAGGGGGACAATCACCTCCCTGTCCCTGCTGGCCACCCCTCTGCTGATGGAGCCCAGGATCCCATTCGCTTCCCGAGCCGCAAGGACACCCTGCTGGCTCACGTTCAGTTTTTCATCTATCCAGACCCCCAGTGACGCTGTGCCCCCCCTCCTCCCTCCCTTCAGATGCGCTCAGTCTCAGCGGGCTGCACCAATGCCTGGTTGAGCTGTCCACGCAGCCGGCCACCGTCTGCCACGGCGCTGCCCCCTCCCGCGACGGCGCCCGCTCCCACGCCGCCCGCAACGCCCTCCAGTACCTCCGCATCATGGCAGGGGGCAAATGAGCCCCCACTCCCCCCGCCCGGATGGACCCCCGGCACCCGGAGGCCCCCTGGATGGAGCCGGGGATGGGAGCGTAGACGGACCCACGGATGGATGGAGTCACAAAAGTGACACGTGGACACCCTGACGGACATCCAGATCCAGCAACGCGCCGTGTGGGCACCTGGACGGACCCTCGGGTGTTCTGACGGACACACGGATGGACATTCGGGCCCTGGATGGAGCTCAGGGCCAGGGGGGCCTCTGTTCTGCCCCCCACCCCCAGGTGGGTCCTTGGGCACAGGCAGCCCCCAGGAATAAAGCTGGGGGGGTTTGTAACTCCCCGTGTTGGTGTGTTCTTGGGGGGCTGTGGAAGGGGGCACTTATGGGGCAGGAAGGGGACATTTCCCCCTTTCATCTCCCCTGCCTGAGGCAAAACCACTGCGAGCGTTCAGGGTTTGGTGGCACCGCTTTATTGGATGACCCACGGACAGACGGACTCGGGCCCATGCAGGGGGACGGACCCACGGACAGCTGTGGGGATGGACGCTCAGCGACGGCGGCCGAAGCGCTGCGGTGTGGCCATGGTCCAGAATGGAGCGGATGGGGGATCCCAACTTCGGGGGCTGAGCCACGAAGGGGCCCCCGGCCCACGGGGAAACCTGCAGGGAAGGGAGAGACTGAGGGCCACCGGGGGACAGACAGACAGATGGGGATGGATGGGGATGGACAGGGGTGGACAGAAAGGGACGGGCAGATGGATAGATGGAGAGATGTACACAGATTACATTGGGATGGATGGACAGGGATGGACGGACGTGGACAGACAGACAGAATGGACGGACACAGATGGTAACAAAGCAACAGACAGCCGTGGGCAGTTGGGGACAGACACCAATGGGGACATTGGAAGGAGATGGCAAAGGACGGATGGACAAAGGGACGGATGGGGACAGACGGATGGGGACGGATGGATGGATGGACAGACAGGAGGCTGCGGGGACACCTAAAGATGGATGAAGGAGGACCGAGTCAGTGCTGAGGAGGATGGATGGATGGGTGGATGCGGACAGAGGGCAGGACAGACGGACAGAGGGCAGGGCAGACAGACAGATGGGACGGACAGGGACGGTGCGATGACACCGATGGGGACGGACACACGCAGGACACACAGACACAGGGCCACGCGCACCCTTCGGGACTCCCCGACCCCCACATCCTCCCTACACCCGAAGTCCCCCAGCCCCTCTGTGCCCCCCCCCCCCCGGTGCCCCCCACCCCCCTCACCTCTGCGGCTGCAGCTCTGGGGCAGCGCCGTGCCGGGGGCGCCCCATGGAGCGGAGCAGCGCGCTCAGAGCGGACGGACCCGACGGGGCGGCGGCACCGGGACCGTCCGGGAGCGGATCGGACCGGGGGGGTTCGGGACACGCGCTGGAGGTGCGAGCGGTCCCGGCCGACAGCAGCAGCAGCACCAACACCACCCGCGCTGCCATCGCCGCCGTCCCCCCGGCCGCCGCCCTCCGCTTCTTATAGACGGGGCCGCGGCCCCGGGAGCGGCCGGGGGGGTCCCGAGGGATGGGATGGGATGAGGGGGGGGGGGCGCGGTCTCGGCTCTCCGTTAATTGAAGTCATTTCGCAGCCGTGACAACCGCCGCGGGGACGCGATGATGGGACGGGCGGGGATTAGAG